ACAAAACTAAACATGACATGTGTTGATTTGATTATCAACATACATCACATTATGGGGTTGTAGAGGCTGTTGATGAAATCATGCATCGATCAATGTTATAGACCACACCATTAGAAACAAGGAAGCACTGAAACACGGCCGTTTCGTCCTGGTATGCGACTACTCATCAGTGGCAGTGCACATCCACGACTCCTGCACTCCGCACAGGACTCCGCACACCGAGGACATTCAGTATTGTGCACGATCGCCGAACTTATGGACCACTGAGCCGGTATCTAATAGTGTTCATGTCTAACCTAGATCAATGCATGGAGTTGCGCAACCTTGTACACGGTTTTCGGTAGTTGTACAAAAATAAAAAACACCATGTAATTTTTTGATATGCAATCAAAATCACATAGTTTGCAATTTTTGTATACTTTATTTTTGCAATAAAATAAAAGAAAACTGAACAACATGAACACCTACACGGTTTGGCTTAGTCATTGGATGATTATTTCTTGTCCAATTATATTATCCTTTCATCTTTTGACCTTGTCCATTATTATTAAACTGATGACCTTGGTTGTTTTTGAATTTGAATGTGTGTGTTTGTGCATGTGTGTAAATTGCTTATTCTGCCTAGTTTATGAATAAATACTTAGTCATGCCTTAGAGAACATGATTATCTAAACACCATTTCAAATTGAATTATATCTCATATTCATCGTACAAAACAAGATGGCTATCTGAACACAGTAGCTAGGTCGATAAAGCTAAGGCGTTTGAAGTAAACGGTACTGGGTCTGTGTCTTGTAGTGAACATCAACTCAGAGATAGGACAGATATATTCTCATCTGATGAATCCTGTTAACCACATTCTATTTCTTAGTGTTAGAGTTCCGTCACTAGGTATGCTTGAAACTATTACGGGTGTTCACCTTAGTCGATTAACGAGGACGAGTCTATGAACCAGCATCCTGGATGTACCTGTATCTCAAAGTGGATGTGGATCAGTTGACCTTGAGAGATCACATTCCACTTGGCTGTGATTGGTTAAGGTGTTGTTTTAGTATGCTATTTTTGAAGACTCTCCCAAGGACGTTTCTATGATGGATGTATAAATAAACGCGCTTTGTGTGCTTGAGATCATCATTGTATTTGCTTGGTGCTTGTTGAATACACTTCCATTTCAAGACTTTTTTTTCTTCAGTTAGTTTGAGGAAACGGATCAGAGTACCCTATACTGTGTCACTGGTTCATTGTCTCGTTCTCGTTTATCGACTAACATGAACTGTTAGTAGCTTCATGCATATCAAGTGACAAGCATGACAGATGTTCACTCCTGTACTCGAACCCAGTACTGTTTGCTTCAAACACCATCATGTTATTCCACATAGCTACTCTGCTCATAATGTTGGTAACCTAAAGACAATAGATGAATTAGAATTGGGATTTACAGTCAGAAGTTAAGGTTCTCATCATGGACTGACGTTATTTAAAAATACCAAAGTGATGTTTATCCATCCATATACATGAATGAATTTCGCGCCAAAATCCAAAATTTAGTTGTTTCGACTCTGATTGGTTCGTTCATAAATTTAGAGTCTTGCCAATCATTCATTACATAAACTCATCCATCATACACCTTCACAATTTGATCTCTGTAAACGAGTGGAATTAAATTTTATTTGCTTAGTGATTCTTGGCTACATTTCTTTCTAGCATACGAAGATATGGAAATCGGTAAATTTTGTAGTTTCACATCGCCGACTGATATTAGTTAGTAAAAATATTGTTTCGGCTTGCAAATGAAACTCCTTAATAGCAGTACATATCTATGAACATAACTGGGATTGAATCCGAAATCTGTACGACATACAAGGCCTGTTTAGTCGTGTCGTTTAAGTCGTCTAGCATCGATCAATATGTGATCAATATGTGTCCAGCCATCATGTGTTCGCACGCACTGATAACATTCGTCACACTGCCTAATATATACTTACAACTTGTTATTAAGAACTTTACAGAAGCTTATTACAACAAGTAAAACACTTCCTACTATCCTTTGGCTCTTAATCTTTGGTTGAGTTTATACCAGAATAAAAAAGCAGCTATTCAATACCCCATTTTTTTAAGTTTGTCAATTCACATCAATCTGTGATATGAACACAACAATCCATCCTATTTTTTTAAAAAAAATTCAGGTTGCAATTTCGATTTGTGCAACAATATGCTTTCGCGACCAAATCAAAAAAATCCCTGGAAAGCTCATAAATTATTACTGGGTTGTCTCAAAATGTTTATTGATCCAAATTGTTAAACAATCTTTTTGAGGTGATAAATCATTCCAATGTCAAAAAAGAAATCGATATGTTATACATTTTTTGTCCACTTTTTTGTGGGGGCGGCGGTGGTTGTTTTGTGTGTACAAGACAATTTTTGACAGACAATGGAAAAAAAAAGAAATTTCCCAGGGCAATGCAAAATAACCAACCAATTAATGACTAATTTTGAAAGTTTTGTTTCATGGAATGAGAAAAGTGGTAATTAGTAAAACATTCATCAGAATGAAATAGAGTGGTACGGTTAGGCGAGATGACCATTAGAAATTAGGAGGCATTAGATAGCCCCTTTTGTACTAGTGTATGAGACTCAGCAGCGTGTGTCCTCGACCCTCACATGGCAGAAATCCATGTGTTAAGTCACTGACAAGAGGACTGAGTCATGTTGGTAGATGTAGGCTGGTTACCTGGTTGGGGTCCACGAGACGAAAGTCGCCAATGGTTAGAGAGAGACGTTGAGCGACATGACTCAAAATCGTTTGCAATGGAGCAAGTGCATCCATTCGTTGTGCTCTCTCAAATCCTAATCTTCTGGATTCGTCAGCACATCTACCTTTGTCTTTCTAACTTTATCTCACTGAATTATACTTCTTGAATAATATCTTCAAACCCTAGTCTTCTTCATTACCATTAATACCTCTACTATCTTCCTATCACTATGAGATTTGATTTGACATTTGCGTCTTTGTGCTAATGTGGTATGGCAACATGAACTGATGTACATACATACGTACGAAGTTCTACGTTGCAACAGACTGACTGACTGGCCATGCTTCACAGCTATAAAGTAGGATGGAGCGAACTGCTGCGCAGCAGACTTGTTCGTTCTTTGGTTAGCAGACGAATTTCACGCCTATACTATAATAGATGACGCAAGTTGGCAAAAACCAGTCGAGCCTTCTATATCCATGCTGAGATTTCATCAGTCACCGGGTCATCAGCATTGATGAGAGAGAGACTCCCAAGATACGTGAAGCGGTTATGAAAACTTTAACAATAATCCATGGACGATTACTAACAGATTAACTACCTGGTTAAAATTAAAATCCAAAAACATTTCTTCTTGTCTGGTTGTAAAAAAAACCCGCACACACATACATGTCCATTTCTTCGTCTATAAAAAGAGAAACATAAAACGGAGAGAGAAGTTTTTTTTCTAAAAAAATATATATATATATAAATCATATGTATAATCATAAGAGCGAGACTTCCTGCTGATCATTAATCCAATTTTTAAATAAGATTCAATTCATATCTGTTTAAATTGTACCTAGAGTCATTTTCTGTGTGTTGTACACAATTCTGAACATCGTATCACCTAACATTTGACTTATCGACTGTTGCATTATGGGGTTGGGGTGTTGGTTGAGTTACTTTTTGAAATCATGAATTGATCAATATTAGATCAACATAAGAAACCTCGAAACACTGGGCGGCCGTTTCGTTCTAGTATGCGATTCATCGAAGACAGTGGATGTAGTAGTTGTGTAGTGAACGAGAAGACAGGTGAAGGCAACCGAATTGTATTCAAAGAAAATTACGGCGTTACTCAGTAAAATTGGAAAACCATATCGTAAATTGTTCATTTGCAAAATATCAGTTCATCATATCGAAATGGACTGTTCCTGTTGTAAAACATCAATCGATTGTCACTCACTATTCATGCGTTTCATACAAATTCCATTGTGTTCTTCTAACTCTTCCTTTCTTGATCTTCCCCCATCTTCTGCTGCCAGACATTACGTTGACACTCACGTCATATACTACTTATAAGTAGCTCACACCACAGTTGCGCAAGACCGTGAATTGATCGAACACCGTTAGATGCATCATGCTCAGTGGTGGTTCAGAGGTTAGGCACTTGTGCAAAGGACGGAAGGTTTTGAGTTAGAATCCTGAGAGTAGCAGGATTCGTGGGTGCGCACTGAGTAGTCCGATACCAGGATAAAGTGGCCGTCTTTCTCCTGCACCTCGTAGGATTCGAACCCAGGACCTTCGGTATTGTGCGCGAACGCCTAACTATCGGACCACTGAGCCGGTATCTAACGGAGTTAATGTCTAACTTGATCAATTCACGGAGTTGCACAACCTCATACACAGTCTTCGGTAGTTACTGTCTACACCCGAACCAGTTGAACTTCACTGGACACGTCTTCCACCACTAGAACTCGGAGAAGATTCCTTTTGTGAATTTGAAAGGTCAAAAAGCGACTGTCTGTCGCTTTAACTGGGTCAGTAGGTATGGAGGATTTGCTTAGGAGAGTTGGGAAACCCTGATTTCAAACCAGAATCCTGTGGGAATAAATATTGTCTTGTGACACAGTTAGGTACTTTCCTCAATATGTTTGCTATTTACCTCTAGCGCTTTTTCCCTAATTTCTTCCTCAGCTGGAATCATCTGGTTTTTAGTCTTCCTTAAAACCGGTTGTTACTGATGATGTATGTGGCCAACACCTTCTCTGTATCTTGTGAATGATGGCTTTCATAGAGAGAGTAGTTAGTTCCCTTAGATTTCCACTCCATATACATACAGTAGAACTGTCTTGTTCTTGTTGTTGTGTGCCTGTTGAAAATTATGACTTTGATTGTTCGTTGAATTGAAATTGATATATTCATTCTCTGTATCTCTCTTCATTTCTTTCTGTTCTTTTTTTCTTCTACAAATGAATGAAACAGTTTTCATCCAGATTCCTATATTACAAATAAACGAAAATCTCATTCTACATATAATGATTTATATCAGCAGAAATCCAATAAATTGATTGATTTTCAACATAGTCCAACTGAATATAATTTGAATACAATTCATACTACTACTACTACTACAACTACTACTAATAATAATAACAGTAATACAATCTCATCTTATCCTGTCTCTTCTTGTACTCATAACACAATTCATACTGATCACCATCATCCTGCTCCTCATCCTCATCATTTTCGTTCGTACAGTACTACACCATTATCAATCAAAATACATCCATCCGACAAGAAGCCATCAGTTCATTCTTATGAAATCAATAATAATTCCACTAGTGATATCTGTTCAACCAGTTCATCATTATCTGATCATAACACGACGAACGGTATCCATTGTTCATTATCACTGAATGATAATGGTGTTAAACGAGAAATTGGCGCTTCTATGAAACATCGTACTCTACCGCTGGTACCACCACATCAACGTGAACACCAACATCAACCACCACAACACCATCATGGTTCACATGAAACACTCACCACATCACAATTAACTACACCGACTGTAACATGGCGTATAAAAGATGCTAAAGAATTATATTATGATAAGAAATTGCTGCGATTAATTGAACAATTACCAAAAGAGAAACAAAATTCCATTGGCCTGATTTTATTAGCAATGGATGTGAAATTCTTTTTATTAATTCATTCGAATTTAATGAATAAATCTGAGAACCGTTATGCTACTTCTTATACTACACATTTTAATAATTATCATGACATGGATATATTTTCGGGTGGATTAGAATATCGTTTACGTGAAGCATTACAGTTGGTGCAACCAAAGAATAAAATTTTGAATAATGAATCGATGACGGATCAACAATGTGTTGTGAATACTAGCAACAGTAGCAACAGTGGTGGAGATTTGAATAAAACTTATTTGAATAAAATTATTGATGTTCGAAGTAGAAAGTAAGTGATTTAATTGTTTGCCAGTTTGAAATTGTTTGTTTTTTCTTGTTGTAAGTAATACATGCTTAGTGAAGAAGCTGACAAAATGTAGAGTCTTCTGACTACCCTAAGCAACAATGTAAACACATGTTCGGGATGCGATTCTCTCCCTCGTCGAAATGCAAAATGTTGCTTCAGGATTGCGTTTCATCGGCACCTGAACTAGTGTGATAGGGACTGAAGTAGTCGAATGTGTAGACCGCTTCACTTATCTGAGGAGTCTCATCAGTGCTGATGGCCTAGTGACTGATGAAATCTCAGCTCGGATACAGAAGGCTCGATTGGCTTTTGCCAAGTTGCGTCACTTATGTCGTAGGCGAGATATCCGTTTGCTGTCTAAAGGACGAGTGTACTGTGCAGTAGTTCGCTCCGTCTTACTTTATGGCTGTGAAACATGGCCAGTGAGAGTGGAAGATATTCGTCGGTTATTGGTTTTCGATCATAGGTGTCTTCGAAGCATTGCTCGTATATCCTGGGACACCCGAGTGAGCAACGCTGTTATTAGGAAACGGGTACTAGGTAAGAATGGCAGATCAATCGATGAAGTGGTGAAACTTCATCAGTTGAGGTGGTTGGGATATGTGTTGCGTATGCCCAACCACCGACTGCCTCGAAGAGCTTTGTTTTGTAGTGTAGGAATAGGTTGGAAGAAAGCTAGGGGCGGCCAAACCAAAACATGGCACAAATCCATGAAGTCATTGACAAGCGGACTTAGCCATGTCGGTAATTGTCGACTACCTGGTTGGGGTCCGCGAGATGATAATAATCGATGGTTAGAGACCTTGAATGACATGGCTCAAAATCGTTCGCAATGGCGCCGGTGCATTTATTGTTTGTGTTCTCTCAAATCCTAATCTTCTGGATTCTTCAACATATCTAGTTTTGTCTTTCTAAGCTTTTCTCACTGAATCATACCTCTTGAATAATATCTTCTAATCCTAACCTGTCCGATTACTTCTAATACCCTTACTAGCTCTTCTACTATTGGATTTGAATTGACAATTACATCTCTGTGTGCTGATGTGGTATGGCGACATGAACTGATGTACTTATGTACGAAGTTCTACGTTGCATCTGACTGACTGACTGAATACATGCTTAAGAGTTTATCATGTGCAGTGGTCGTAAATACATGCTCAAACTCCGCCGGATTGGCTACTTGAGAGAGAGAAAGCGAAGGCAAGAGTAGGCGTGATATTCTATTTGACCTTCTCCACTATAAGGGACTAATACTTCTTGACCAATGGTGTAGATTCGTTGACATGTTGTAGGATTTCGTTGATAATAGTCTTTCGTTAGAACCATGAAAATGGACTTGAAAGCTTTATATACATAGGTGTATGAAGAGTGTCAACCGTAGCTGCTACGCTGACATCGTGATCGAGCTCGCCTGTTGTTATAATGACCCAACTGAACCATATTGGCTAGAAGATATGTTCCTGTAGGTTCTGACATGTCACACAGGTCTACTGGACAAAGATGAGACTAAAAGCGGCAACTTTAAGTCTGGGATTGAAGTCGTACTGCTGCGTTTAGAGGGGTATGTCAGCAGTAAGGTGTTTCCCTCGAACAATAGGCATCTGCAACAGTGCTGCCTTCTCACAACTGAAAGAAGAGGTTAGAAAAGTTCCACCCCAAAAAATGTCACAACCCACCTTACCTCACGGATATACATCTCCGGAGAGGTCATCTGATCACGCCATGCACTTCTATCGCCTGGACCTTTTCTCTCTTGAAGAACTTTCCGGGCGGCGCTCTGCTGCATACTACTTATATGCCAATTTTTGAGTAGTATCTACCATACTACGTGACTGAAAAGTTACTTACTCCCTTTTAGAAATTCGTTCAGCCATATCGAAAGTGAAGTAGTAGTTAATTAGGATGGAACTAAATCTTGTGTAACAAATATATTGTTACTCAGGCAAAACGGAGGGAGGAGTTCCAGTGTGGTAGTGTAGTGAAGAGAACACAGGTGGGGCGACCGAATTATATTTAACGAAAATTACAGAGTTACTCAGTAAAATCGGAAAACCATATCGTAAATCGTTCATTTGCAAAATATCAGTTCATCATATCGAACTGGACTGTTCCTGTTGCAAAACATCATCAATCCATTGTCACTACTATTCCTGCGTTTCATACAAATTCCATTGTGTTCTAACTAACTCTTCCTTTCTGTTGATCTTCCCCCATCTTCCGCTGCCAGACATTACGTTGACACTCACGTCATATACTACTTATAAGTAGCTCACACCACAGTAGTATCATTTACATGTAGTACTAATGAGCATTCAGCTAAATTAAAAGACAACTGTTTAAATTTTTCTGTTTATAGTTAAGACTGTAACTGATCAGTCTGGCTTGTTATAATAATATGCACATCCTGTGCAGATTGTCTCGATACTGTGATTAAGTCACTAGCATGATAAACAGAGCTGAATGTGGGGGAATCCAGGATGTTCGCTTTATCGAGTCTCGGAGTGATACATCACCACTGAGGATGCTGGAACATCCAGCTGATAAGTCTCAAATAAAAACGAAACACGCGCTATCATCCTTCTATGATAATAATGCTTGTAATTGAATGCTAATATCGAGACAATCTGCACATGATGCGCATATTTTCATTCGCAGTCCTAAACAACGATGGGATTATTCAAACAATTCATGCTAGTGAATTCATCTTCACCGCATAGCACAAGTCACTGGCTCGCCGAACTCATTAACAACTGTAAATGGATACAGCAATGGCGTTTGAAGTGAACAGTACTAGGTCCGATTCTCGGAGTGAACATTTCACAATGAAATTATATTAGTATTAACATTATCACCGTTGGATGCGCTGGCTCAGTGTGGTCTACAGGTAAAGCGTCGGCGCACAAGACCGAAAGTCCACGGAGTTCCATTCCCTGAAAGAGAAAGTGGTGGATGCGCACTGCCGAACACTCCCCATACACTAGGACGAGATGGACGTCTTTCAGTGCTTCCAGATTTCTAATGGATGCCTAGAAATGATTGTATCATGACTGCAATGATAAACTAACAATCTTCACAGCTCTGACAGACTGGTAGACAGACAGATACAACACAGAACTTCATGCGTAAGTACATCAGTTCAGGTTGCCATATCGCATTAGCACAGAAACGGAACTGTGACTTCAAATCCAATAGTGGTAGAGATAGTAGAAGTATTAACAGTAATGGAGAGGATAAGGGTATAAATCAATGTGATTAAGTAAGAAAGAGAAAGAGAGAGATGATGAGGAATTCAGAAGGTTAAAATTAGAGAGAACACAGCGAGTGGATGATGATCGATGATTGATTGATGATTTCAAATGTGCAAAAACGCAAACCTCCAAAACTGTGCCCCAAAATATCGTAACAGTGCTCACTAGTGACTAGCTTCGTGAGGAAATTCTCGGAGTTCTAGTTGAGAAGACGTGACCAGTAGAGGAGTTCAACCCTGTCGGGTGTAGGCAGTAACTACCAAAGACAAATAATGGGTGAGGTCGCGCAAAATCCCTAGATCAATCAGAGTTAGACATTAACACCGTTGGATGCCGGCCGGCCCAGTGGTCCGATGGTTAGGCGTTCGCCTACAATGCCAAAGGTCCCGGGTTCGAATCGTGCGAGGAGCAGGAGTCGTGGATGCGCACTGCCACTGATGAGTCCCATACCAGAACGAGGCGGCCGTCCAGTGCTTCTTCCAGGTTTCTAATGGTTTCATTGTACAACCTTATCTTATTCAAATAAATTGCCATTGACGCTTTGTACTTTTATGTATATATATTCATTCATACATAATAAGGGCAATGTTATGTCAATTATCATCATGTTGACAGATTAAAATCATTTCAACATTTAAACACTTTTATTTCAGATTTATTTTACTTGAATGATACTTTTGAATGAAAAAAATTTCATTTTTTTCTTCAAAGAAAGAAAAAAAAAATACTTACGTTTGATGAACATTTCAAAAATGTGAAATCTCATTCGAATAAGAAAATGTGATACTGAAAGTACATGTTAAAGTGTAGTTATTAGTATACAACTGTTATTCATTAATATATATCTTTGTTTAAACTTTTGTGACATATGTGAAAATTCATCAAGAGAATTTATATTTGTCATTCATTATGAAAGTTGTAGGAGAGATTGTTGAGTTACTTACTTTTTTGAAATGATCAATCTATCTATCTATCTATCTAACAGTATTATGGTACCATTAGAAATTTGGAAGCACTGAAAGACGGTTGTTTCGGCCTAGTATGGGACTCTTCAGCGGTGCGCATCAACGACCCTGAGGGAATCGAACACTGGACTTTCGATCTTGCGCATGAATGAATGACCTCTTCTTGACCACACTGAGTTAGCAAGCTTAATCAACCCAAGGTATTGCGCAACTTTACCGATTGTTTTCGCCGCGTAGTAGTAGTACGTACGTATCCACAAACTCACAGCCTAAGATCGAACCCAGGACTTTCGGTCTCCTACACAAGTGTTTGATCCGTTGACCACTAAGCCAACATCCGACTGTATAAATGTATAAATTGAATTAGTCTATGATATTGTATGACCATCATCCAGCGTGTTCTGTGGATAACTGTCTCTGAAGCTTGAACAAAATAGCCATCCATTGCCTTTAAGGTTTCTAATGATGGTTCTGGTATTGTTGATCAGTTCATGATTTTAAAGAAGTTAATTTGTTTAAAATTTCTATCTCTTACCAATTAGAATCATGTGTTAAGTCACTGTGACAAGTGGACTGAGTCATGTTGATAGATGTAGGCTACCTGGTTGGGGTCGACGAGACCAAAGTCATCGATGGTTAGTGACCTTGAACGACATGGCTGAAAATCGGTTGCAATGGCACAGGTGCATCCACTCTTTGTGTTCTCTCAAATCCTAATCTTCTTGATTCGTCAACACCTCTACCTTTGTTTTTTGAAACTTATCTCACTGAATTGTACTTCTTAAATAATATCTTCAAACCTTAGTCTTCTTCATTACCATTTATACCTCTACTATCTTTATCACTATGGGATTAGATTTGACATTTGCGTCTTTGTGCTAATGTGGTATGTCAACATGAACTGTTGAACATACGTACGAAGTTCTACGTTGTAATTGACCTAATTGACTGACATGTGTTAAGCGAAATTCGATAAGTTTTTTTTTCAAACAACTTATTAGTATCTTAAATAGTTTTAAAAAGATTGTTTCAATCGTTTTGAAACTACAGAGGGTCAATGAAATGTGTGTAGGAGTCTCATCAACTATCTCCGCACAACCTTATAATCTGAATAGAGTATGTGATCATGCCTATTTATTCAAGTTTAATCAAATAACTTCAAATGGTATTTGTTATTAACTGTTTTAACTATTCTTTGCAAAGGACATACTTTCTTTATTCCACTTTTTACACAGTGATCTCCTACCAAAGAGATTAACTTATTGACTTGAAATATCCATAGAGAATATAATCCTGTTTTGGTGAAGTAATGATTTTATTCAGAGTCTTTGGGTTGCAATCACTTATCTCAAATGTGCCTCATCGGCACTGGTTATATACGATGTTTGCACAGTCTAAACTACGAGAGTTTGAGTCTCTTGTATAGTCATAAATGCTCATAGCTAATAGGAGGAGTCTCATACCAACCATGAATAAGCTGTCTGATACTTTTTAGGATTTTATCACATAGTTCCTTGAATGAAGTTAGCCAGTGATAATATTGATTTTTAAATTGTACAAGAAACTATTTTTCATGTATATTGATTGTGTTTTATACTCTCTACTCTACTCTACTCTACTCTACTCATATTTCACTTCCTAGACATGTCAATGACTCCAATAAGGCATCAATGAATTTCACCAAAGAATCTTTTAATAAAGAAGAAGATGGTCGTGAATCTGGAATCGATCCAGACACTTTGGATGAAACATCAACATCAATGATTGGCAATTCATTAAGTTTAAATGATATGAAATATGCTGCGACAAATGGATTTAATTCTACTACTTCGGCAAATACTACTGAAATAACTAAACCAAATGTAATCACCATATTGAGACGTTTAGCAAGATATTTAGCATTACGTATAGCCAATAAACGACATAGTTTGGCTACAGCTAATCAACATGTTGCAAGAAATGCAATTGAAGAAAAACTTGTACGTGGTAATTTGCATATATATTGTGTTTGTTTTACAAAAAAAATAATTTTTTCAAGAATAAACTAGAACACGATATGAATGTGTCTTTCCCGCTTATTATACGATTTGTGTTTTATTCATGATATTTACATTCAAACATAGTGTTGTACTTACTTCATGAGTGATGATTGCTCTTGTCAACAGATCGTTTGGAAAACTAGATTGTACGTAATTCAATGCCAAGTTGGTCAGTGAGAGTAGAAGATATTCGTAGGTTATTGGTTTTTGATCATAGGTGTCTTCGAAGCATTGCTCGTATATATATCGTGGGACAACCGAGTGAACAACGCTGTTATTTGGAAACGGGTGCTAGGTAGGAATGGCAGATCAATAGACGGAGTAGTGACACTTCATCAGTTGAGGTGGTTGGGATATGTGTTGCGTGTACGCCCAACCACCGACTGCCTCGTCGAGCTTTGTTTTGTAGTGTAGGAATATGTTGGAAGAAAGCTAGGGGCGCGGGTAAACCAAAACATGGCAGAAATCCATGAAGTGTCACTGACAAGTGGACTGAGTCATGTCGGTAACTGTCGACTACCTGGTTGGGTCCGCGAGATGATAATAATCGATGGTTAGAGACCTTGAATGACATGGCTCAAAATCGTTCGCAATGGCGCCCGTGCATTTATTCTTTGTGTTCTCTCAAATCCTAATCTTCTGGATTCTTCAACCCCTCTAGTTTTGACTTTCTAAACTTTTCTCATTTAAGCATACTTCTTGAATAATATCTTCTCATCCTAATCTGTCCGATTACTTCTAATACCTTTACTACCTCTTCTACTATTGGATTTGAATTGATAATTACATCTCTGTGCTGATGTGGTATGGCGACATGAACTGATGTACTTATGTACGAAGTTCTACGTTGCAACTGACTGACTGACTAGTTTAGAATGTTAAAGTATATATATATATCAGAAATTTGGAGGATGTATAACACAGAAACAGCTTGATAAGATACAATTCTAACATTCCACTCCTATCGAAAATCATATTAAATTATGTAATCTTTTTTGTAAAGAGTTGTATTATTGTAAAGACTTTTCAATATTGTATGTACACTCACAAATAGATATTTTGGATAGATGCTAATACACTCAACAGTTTACACCAGTTTACTTAAGCCATATCACACTATTGATATCCAGTCAGTCAGATTTGATTGTGACCGTATTTGATCTCGTGTGCTGATACGGGTATGAGGACGTATGCCACTTCTCCTCGACTGCCCACATAATCGAAAGGTGTTTCTTGAGGAATGTGAAAATGAAAGTAGATTCGCGTTGGCCATGGAGACTTGAGAGCATGACCACACAGTCCAAGAGACAACTGCTTGAGGCCGGTCACGCACGACCTTTTTATGAAAAGTATTCAGTGTTCACTCCGCTCTTTTTAAAAAGACCTCACTTCCGAAGACGGAAATCCGTGAAGCAGGATGAGGTGTGACAATTTTAGGATCGATCTCTTCTGACGCCTTTCCTTCCGTTGTGAGAAGGCAGCAGCATCGCTGCAGATGCTGGTTTTTCAAGGGAAACACCTTACTGCTGTCACACTCCCTTACAGTCATCAGTACAACTTCACCCTCAGACCTTGAGTAGCCGGTTTTAGTCTCATCGTTCTCTAATCGACTTGCCTGGCATGACAGAACCTACAGGAACATATGTTCCAGCCGATATAGCTCGATTGGGTCATCACGATAGGAAAGTCCGACGACCCCATCCAGGCAGCAGCTACAGTCCGGAATATCCAGTACTAAAGTGTAAACATTCACATTTGAGAAGACTGAGGCAGGCGCGGAAGATTGTATTATGCAAATTTACACTCTTGGTCAATTAAAAACGAAAACATTACATTGAATACTCACTCTATTTACACATCATCTTTGAGTCGTGACTTCCAACGCTCCATCCTTCTTCCATTCCTGCTGTTGCTTCCTTTACTTCCCATTGGTACTCCATTTACTTCTTGCTTTCGCTCCATTCGCTTTCCGTTTTCCTCTTCTGACCGTGCGACTTCTTCTTTCACGTCTCTTCTTATACTACTTATATCGTTCGTATAAGTAGCACACACCACACATTGATTTTCGATTGTTTTCAATTATCTCTCATCAAATCTAGCCTGTTTATTTGTTTGTCAATTTCTATTTTTCTTAGTTACGTTCCCGATTAAGTGAATTACAAACAAGCACTGATTATAATACCACAGAACATCTATACAGTCGAACGAGTTGGAATTCACTGAATTCATTGGAAATCAATCGTGGCACATTGGTGAATCGATTCGATCGTTTGCATAATAATACCATTGCTGTAATCCAGTTGTTATGTCAATTAGCTAGACGTTTAGCTATCCTGGATAGTCAATTGTATTATTTAAATAAAGAGAAATTTTATGACAATGTCATATTGTTGAATAGAAATCCGACAATCAATCGTGATCAACATGATTTCTCATCATCGTATAATGATGATGATGGTGTGAGACCAGCGACGGCGACATCAGCGATATCATTTCTAACTGATCGAACACTGTTCCCACCGAATCGATTAGTTCATCATTCTAATTATTATGTAAATAGTAATCGCAATAATAATAGTAATTATGAATTGGTAAGTGAGTTGATTGATTTTTATGACTACAACGAACTAAAGTCAATAATTTACATTAATCCTTGTGATTATTAGACCACCACTATTTGAAAAACCTGCATGCCCTGGATCAGCGTTTCACCTTTCTACTAGTATGGGACTGTTCAACAATGTACGGGAATCGAATGCAGGAGGACCACGGAGTTGACATTCTTCAACCAGAGTAATGTAATAACTTTAAACTATCCAGGGAATTGCGCAACCTCAGTGTTGGGAATGTTAGATCCACAGAACTCATTTGGGAAAGATTTTAATTCTTGGAAATTTTTTTCTATGTTTTCACGCATAAGTCGCTTAGTTGACCTTCAGGCTTATATTTCTCACTCGGAAAATCCTTGAATATCATTGGTTGATGGATTATTTTAGTAAACTATTTTGTGGTTCTCCCAAGGACGTTTCTATCATGTATAAATAAGTTCGATTTCTGTACTTGTCAAACTCGTATTTCTAAGGTGCTTTTAGAATACACTTATCAAGACTTCTTGATATAGTTAACCGGGTCGACGAGAAACGGATTAGAATAGCCTATCGTGTCACTGAGTCATTGCTTCGTCCCGTCACCGAGTCAGGTGAACTCGTAATAATAGCATTCAAGCATATCGATTGACGGAAATATTACTCACTCGTTGACTTTGTTAGGTAACTAACTGCCTCATACTCGACAGGACTGAACTCCACTGGTTGCAGCTTCTCACTAGGATTTATTCACGAAGCTAATCACTAGTGAGCACGTCTTATGACTTTCATTATCGAGTCATGGAGATTGAGTTAAGTTTGATTAAGATTGATTAAAGTTAGGCATTAATACTGTTAGATGCTGGCTTAGCGGTGGTCTACAGGTTGAATGTTCGTGCGCGACGGCGAAGGTCCTGAGTTCGATTCCTGTGAGCAGGAGTCGTGGATGCGCACAGTTGAAGAGTTTTTTATATTAACAATTGACGGCCGTCCAGTGTTTCCAGTGTTTCTAATGGTAGTCTAGTAATGATCGATTCATGATTTGCACGGATACTTAACAATCTATATTATTCTATAATGAGAATTCAGTGTTATTTCTTGACTGGCTAGGGCATACATATTCTGGAAATGGGCTCTGGGTAATTAAATCAATTTAGAAAAATGATTGATTATTGCTCTGAGTTATTTCGGTAGGTAGAGGCTAGTTGGTTATTACTGAATAAATCCCACCAATCAAGTTGCTGTGTAACTTGACAGAATGTGTACTACGTTGAGATGTTCTCTGGGTTGGGCGTAGTCGACAGTAAACCTTTCTAAACTATTATTTATTCTATGTAAGCTAGATTTACCTACAATCTTTAGAAAACTCCTACTAATTCGTTGATTCGAAAACGTGTCACTTAGCTTTACTTTTTAAAACTTTACCATTAAGTTATTTGGACGGTCACCGACCTCCTACAATATTTTGATCTTTTCTTTTTAATTAGAGTTACGGAGATCAGTGTTTTTACACATTTGAAATTATCAGTCAATCATTGTTAGACCACCAGCATTAGAAACCTGGAAGCACTGAAAGATGGCTGTTTCATCCTGGCATGGGATTAATCAGCCGCATAAATCCACGACTCCTGCTACTCTCAGGATTCGAACTCAGCACCTTCGGTCTTGTGCATGAACACCTAAGCTCTGGACCAATCGGCCGGCATTCAACAGTGTTTAAATTTAATTAATTCAAGGTACCGTGCAACCTCACCCATTGTCTTTGGTGGGTAACTAACTGCCTACATCCGACAGGGTTCAACCCCACTGGTCACGTCTTCTCACTGGAACCCGGAGAATTTCCTCACGAAGCTAGTCATCACTAGTAAGCAAATTTTACCAAAGGTCCCAGGTTCAAATCCTGCGAGGTGCAGGAGCCGTGCATGTGCACTGCCACTGATGAGTCCCATACCAGGATGAAACAGCCGTCTTTCAGTGCTTCCAGATTTCTAATGGTGGTCTGTAGTTGCTTTAGTCTACACATTCTGTTAGCATTGTATTTTTGTCAATCCCTAAATAACTTTTCAATAAATAGAGAAAATTATTGGATTCTTTTATCCTATTTTTCAACTATTTAACGTGACCAGTGGAGTTCAACTCTAACGGGTGTAAACAGTAGCGGCCACCGAAGGCAATCAATGGGTAAAGTTGCGGAAAATCTTTAGACTGACCAATGTTAGACATTAACACCGTTGGATGCCACCGGCTAAGTGGTCAGAAGGTTAACATCGGCGCTCAAAACCGAGGGTCCTGGCTTCGAACCCTGTGAGGTTCAGGAGTCGTAGAGGCGTATTGCTGATAAGTCCCATACCATGACGAAACAGCCATCTTTCAGTGTTTGCAGCTTTCTAATTTTTGGTCTAACAATTATCAACAACAATAAAAGTACTTTCTATGCATTATTTATTGTTTCTCTCTCTCTCTCTCTCTCTTGAAAAAATCCTCCACTTTTTTTCGTGTTTATCTGTTTTAGTCACAAATAGTTGAACAACAAAAACAATTAGTCATACAAATTAAAGAAGCACAATTATTAAGAGCGGAATTAGAAACATGTCGACGTCGTCTGTTGGAAAGTATACCGGGAAATTTAAAATGTGATTCAACACACACTATGATTGGTAAATTAGGCAGAGATTTTAATGATGATACACCGACCAATACTAGTACTCCTACTATGAATGGTAATAATAATAATAACAATCATTGTACAACAGATTTTAAATTACCGCCAAACACAGATAAACAAATGGAACAACAATTATTGAACAATAATGATCCATTGAAAAAATCATCCAATAAAATCAACAATAATTATGAATTGAATGATAAACAATTCATAGATTGTCAACAAACTGTGAAAACAACATCACAATTTCTTAGACAACGTGTTACTGAACATTTAATTGAATTTTTAAATTGGTTCGTTTTATCACAAGTAAGTATGAATTTTTGATTAAATTGAAATTAAGGCGGAATCCATTGTTTTCTCAAATTTATTACCTCGATGATGGCTAGTAGTGGAATGCAGGAGGATTAAGGTTCTGTTTGATTAGGAACCTGAGTTCCGGAGGTGTAAACATCAAAGTGTAGGATGCGAGCGCATCCAGATGACGAGTTTTACGCAGGATTGCAATGCATATTCTAGTTTACACTGCTAGACATCATTGAACACTGTTTCATTCAATCAGCATTGAGTAGAATCTTTACACAAACATCTGAAAAATGCAAGGTCACATGACATGAATCTGATTGGATATTTATCCATCCCGCTACTGTAGTTAGTTAGTGTGGTGAGATAGGATAGTTAGTATTCGAGTGACCAAACTAAAAAACCAGATGGTTTTCTTAGAATGCCACTAATACCCGCGCTTTCAACCTAGAATTCTAATACAAAAGACAGCCGAGCAACGTGATAAGATGCAGGCAGTCCCATGGTAGCCGCTAAATAATAATCGATTCATAAACTTTCTTCAGTGAGTGCTGCATACACAAACAGCCCGGTTTAGATACCCAAAAATTGGTTCTTCGTAAATAAACATCCCCACTACGTACGGGCAGTTAGCCGAAGTTCTCTGACAGTAGCTATATACACACATGGCCTTCCTTATAAAAGGATTTTTCGAGTGTGAGGACGGACTCTTCACACTCTCAACAGTACCAGAGCATTTGGGAGCTAAACTTTAATGTATAGTGTAATATTTTCAGAAATATTCAGTCAATTCACTGATTATCGTAACAAATAAAGATACGTGTATTATTAGGCTATCACTTTTAAAAACAAAGAAAGTGAAAACTACTTCTCTGATGAAAGAAACACTTATCACCGACTGATAAAGTTTTCTGTGCTTTATACAAAATATGATGGTTTTAAATGAAATTTTGTTTGGAAGAAAAATGATCATGGAATGCCAACCCACCTGGGGAGCCCTTCCGGGGTTACTGCCGGTTCCAACCAAGCCCGGATAAAGGAGGAGGAGGGTTAGCGACCACATTCCGTAGAAAATCAATTCACTATAGTAGAGAAACCCTAATCAGAAAAAACGCTAACCATACCGACCCTTTGGGTAATTAAGTGTTTACTGCTTGATCCGATTTTTTTTTCGGATCAAGCGAAAAAAAAAAAGACCGGTGTCAGGCAAGGTTGCTTACTCTCACCCTTTCTCTTTCTCCTGGTCATCGACTGGATTATGAAAACGTCAACATCTGGAGAGAAGCACGGTATCAACTGGACAGTTAGGACGCAGCTGGACGATCTGGACTTCGCAGATGATCTGGCTCTTCTATCGCACACGCAACAACAAATGCAAGAGAAGACGACCAGTGTAGCAGCAGCCTCTGCAGCAGTAGGTCTCAACATAAATGGAAAAGCGAAATTCTCCGATGCAACACAACATGCACCGACCAAATCACTCTTGATGGAGATGCCTTGGAGGACGTTAACACCTTTACATATCTGGGCAGCATCATCGACAACCAAGGTGGATCGGATGCAGATGTGAGGGCACGGATTGGCAAGGCAAGGGCT